GATGCAATTCAGGATAACGCCAGAAATGTTCTTATGGTAATATTCACATGGTTTCATGATTTCATTGGATAATGTTTTTAAACTGTACAAACGACTTGTTCCTCAGTGCCATCAGAAGACTGCACAACTGTGACATGAAAATTCGCTCGTTGTAACCAACCAACTCTCATTCCCGAAATCGGTCAGTTTTTCGCAACTCATACATCATTAATATTAATATGCTTCTAGTCGAACCATGCCAAAATGAAAAGATATCATTTAGAATGCTTTTGCAACAAAGTAATCAGCTAACTCCAAAAAATACTCGATGATTTCGCATCAACTGTATCGTCATCTAGTACTCTTCGAATGGACCATGAATGTGGCTCTGCACGATACGTATCACCGTTATAAATGAATTGCATGTGGCCGTCAGAAACCTGGAAATGACAATGAGCTGTGGCGCTTTTCTCATGAATTGAATCAGTTTCTCCAGAATACAGTTATCAACTTATAGCGGCGAAATGAGACGTATGAAATTCTGATGAATACACTCAGATCAGCAGAAGATAAAGTTTTTCCGGTTGTACTGTGCATATTCAACGTAAATGGAATTTAGCAAACAAATGAATGACTGATTCCAAGTACATCCTCATAAAAGAACGAATATATTTGTTAATCTCGTCTTTTGAAATGACATTTTGTAACGATAAATGATAGAGAGGTATTTCATGAGAAACATTTGGATAGCAATGCTAAACTACTGTTAAGTACGGGGAACAAGTGGAATGGGAATTAAAGTTTCCGGTGGATGAATTTATTAGTTTCAAAGACTTTGCTTCACCACAAGTTTAAAGCCTTTCCAATCGATGATACCTATTGGAGCGAGGGGAGTACAAATGAACCGAAGTTGCTCTATCAAACACGACGAAGAGGAAGAAGGAATTTCTCTAAATAAGCGAATTCACCTCCTTAAGAAATGATCGTAACAAGAGTTAAGAAATGATCTTATGGAAAGGCAAAACTTCTATTCTGATGAGCACGATCTGCGTTCATAACATAGATATATTGATTTCTTAGGATCAATCGTTAAACTCTCCAACTGCCATCGTTAACCCTTTGATCAATCACTCAAGGACCCTATGCATCATCTGATATTCCTCAAAAGGGGATGTAGAATCGAGAATGGTATAAATGAAAATGAAACGAATCATCAACTGACCGCATTCGATAACATTTCTGCTTTCCGTTTCGCATTTGTACCTCGTAACAAAAATCCAACACTATTGTCATCACCAATTATCAAGTCGTCAACTTCAGAACCGTCAATGTTGAATATTCTTTGCAAATAGTTCAGAAAAGCACTGTAAAGCCAAAGTTATATCCTCCCAACAATCGCAGGTCTTGAATTGTTCCGCAGAGAATTGCAACGAGTTTATCAGTCATTCAAACTTTGCGCTCTCATATTCGACAAATACACAATGATCCATATTTGAGCCCAATTTCAGATGTCAAGTGGATGAATCTGGCATCAATTGAAAGCTTTGAGAGCATCCCAAAAAGATGCCTAATTTCAGTTCTCCATGAAGTTTGGACAATAAATTCTATCAGTCTTGACCGCTGACTTGCGCGAGCTTTGAAAAGAACTCACTCGTTTATTCCTGGTCGATTTTCATGTCTTAAAAGTGGTCCGCTGAGTGTCAATCCGATTTGATAAGCCTGCATCGGCTCAGTCCCACTCAAAAACGCACTGCTCGTGTCCAGATCATAACCGTCGATGCAGAACTGTTCGCATTTCAATCGAGTGTCGAAATTGTTCAAATTGCCCTCACAACCACCATATTCGAATTCTGTACATCGATTCGTGCTCGAATCGTAAAAATAACGACGGGTTCGGACTGCACAAGCTCCTTGATCGGCAGCCATTTTGCACACGTATTCTGAGAATGCAAACGTTCGTTCGTTGATTCGCTTGTTTTTGCACAATGCGGGAGCCATAAATGTGCTAACATCAAACTATGCGAAAGATTCTGCCTGTTGGGTTTTTGAATTCTTCCTCATTCCTTGGGCAGTTGCGTTCAGATTTGAATCCCTTATGCTTTGGTCACGACTCCTCATGTTTCATGACCACAAATTGGGTGTGATTAAAAAGCGATCTTTATTCCATGACATTAAACCAACCTTTCTTAACGCAACACACGCCAGATGTTTGTGTAGCGCGTATAGAACAGAAATGCGTGGAAGGACAATTGCTGGAATCCGGTGAGCATCGTAGCAGTAAACCATTGGCCGAGTCTGAGTATGGACTGCCATGTGCACAAGAGTCACTCTCTGAGTTGTTGACTGATTGAACTGATTCTGAAAGAAAACAATAAAATATCAGGAAGGAATAATCGACGGTGAATAACTCACCGCATTGTTGTTTTAATTCTCCTACTTCATCGAACCTTTGCTTTTACAGGAGATTCTGATTGGTCTGTGGTTTTAAAAAACTTCAGCCTCATTAATGATATTCGAGAATCAAATATGAATATCTTCATTGGAGATATTCCAGAAGCTACAATAGCTACCAGTTAGCAAAAAGTGAATTGCTTATAAATGACTCACCATCGTCCTTTCCTGGACAGCAGATACCTCTGCTTGATTCGTCATATGCTGTGCAATAGAATCCAGTTGGGCAAATTTGCGTTCCATTTTGAACGCAAGTGAATTGTGTAAATGTTCCTGGCTCAACGGCTGGTTTCTGATTGTGGTCACACGGATTCGGTTCACCTAGAGACTGTCTTTTTCAATTGTTCAATTGGTAATTACTGCTGCTTTTGCCTGCCTGATACAGAGTGAACCAACTACTCAACCAATTACTTCAACTATACATCTTTCAAACATTGAACAGAAAATATCCATCTGCAATTGCCAATACTTACAAGTCATTCATATTATCGGTTTGAAATATGCAATCAACATTTGACTTGTTGAACATTCAAAACCAAAACTCACACGTTGGAACGGGGATACACAAATGATCGTTGCACTCTTTTGGCCTCAGAAGGCAGACTTTTCCTTCGGAACACTGCACGAAATCGCACGGATTTCGACAACGACATGTTGCGCTTGGGCTGCATCCTTCTGCATCTGTGTCCAGTCCGAATGGACAAACGCCACTGCTGTCATCACACGCTACTGCACATGCCTTTTTGTCTGAAATTTTACAGAGATTAAAAATATGCCCGCATTTCTTATGAAATATTCTGAGGTCACCTGTTACACAAAGTCACAATTCTCAGTGATATCGTTTTCGTTCATCTTTCAAAAATTTCACTTCATCACAACTGTAGATTGCTCTCAACACAATTTAGGTTCTTTACTATTCATCAGTATTTGAATTCAACACTTTTCAGAAGCATTTTCGTGTTGAAATCGTTTCGCCATTTTAATAAACTACAAACAGTTGAATGATGAATTAAGTGGCTCATAATGAGTGCGGTTCAAACGAACTAGAGCAAATATCGCTTATCGAAGTGGGTATTTTTGCTTTGGTGGCATAAATTTCGGTACCGGTTACTGTATCGACACACCAACAAAGTTCCTTATCATCACACTGCACAGGCGAAAATAATCCTGAATTTAAGAAAAAACTTCAACTGCCTTTATAGCATGCAAATAAACCATGTAATTTCACATAATATTTGGTTACTGAACGGCTTCCAAAAAGGTTCTAAGACTTCCAGATATACGTATTCAAATGTAACCTACTGCTAGGCAATGTTCTATGCAAAGAATGCCAATGTTAGCTTTCATAATCTGTGATCAGGTTAGATCAAGAGCACAAAAACCTTTCAAGAAATGTATCCGAACATAAGTACCCNCCGGCCCCATCATTTTGAATACAAAAATGACACACGAATAATAAAACGAATAATATGAGTTAGTTGAACTTGTTGTCTTTTGCGGCGCAATGCAAATTCTTTGACAATTGCCATACTCACAACACTTCAGCACATCTTCACATTGTGAATCCGTTTCGCATTCTCTTCGACACTCTGAATACATCAACCATTTTTATTGTACTGCATACGCAATCAATTTTTGAGAAAAAAACGAAATTGTATTTTGAATTTATACTTGTGGCAAATTACATGTGCATTTTGGTGCGTTGAGAACTTCATTAGAGAATGTCTGATTAGTTTTTTTTAGGACTAGCAAATTCTCTTATCTAATTAATAATGACTCTAAAACATCTAACATCGACTGCACCAATAATTGAGTTTGGATTGCGAGCAGAAAAAAAAAGTTAGAATTCGAATATTGAAAACGTCGACATATTGACAGCTGCTTCCTGCTAGCGAAAGTGTTCATTTTTGTTCAGAAGAGAGCGTAGGAAAAGGTTTTTTTGTTAAATTTCATTTGGTGCGTGAATAGAGGAAATTTATTATGCATAAAAATAGAAAGATCCAGTTAGGAAAATGAATGCGTTCAACAAGTTAGATGAGGGATCGAGAAATGTTTTTAATTCATAGAATGAAAGTTATTCAGCTCAACANTTGTTCATATATCCAGGAAATAGTGTATCTGATCCGAACGAAAAAAACAATGATCAAATTCTTTCTATTCCTTTATGTTCTTGACTCAAACGTCAGAAGAGTAATGATAACATCAATTTCGAAGCTTTGGAAAGGACGTTTTAGTCTCGTCGTTTCGATGTCGCCATTCTGGCGCCGACCGTTCTGCGTAGCCGTTTAGGTTCCTTACTGTAACCGCGCCGAAACTAGGAGTACTCTTAAGGGGCCTACATTTGTTAGCGGCACCGACCGGCGCCAACACTGCCGTCGCCCAGAAGACGGCGACAAAACGAAGGTGCCGAATAGCCTCATTCCATGTTAAAAAGCCTATACTAATGCAGAAACCAGAGTCAATGAGAACTGAAGAAGTTGTATCCAAGAAAACACCAATCAAAACGATTGTGAATCACCTGTCGATAGGGAATCCTTGTAGCGATGCCTCAGATGCATTGGACATTCACCGTACTTTACTGTTCCATGAAATATGCCCATAAACGATTCTGCAACATAACTGCATTCAGCTTTCGAAATGATCATCAGGATTCCAGCGAATAAAGTTGAAAAACATTCATTCAACAGATGAATGGTGGATGTTTGTAAATGATCTTCTCACTCATTTGTCTTTTCAATTCCTACTGAGTCGAAAAAAACAACGCTATTTGTACTTGCTACTGTTTGAAAATGCATGAATATCAAACCAAAAAAGCGAAATCTGAACTGTTGGAAAGATTATATGCATTTACAATACTCTGTGATATGTTGAGGAGGCGACTGCATGAAAAAAGCATTTGGTGTTGCTAAAATAATTCATGAACTTTCGAATTTCTTTGAGAATGTTTACCAGGAAGTGAACGATAAAGAACACGATACGAAAAAATTCCTTTGCAGTATAAAGTTGATGTATGCCTTGAAAATAGCAAATATGATAAAGCTATGAAGCAGTTCGAGCAACTGATACCTAACGGACAACAAACACCGATATTGTTGAGCTCCTCTAGCAATGAGCACTTGCCGCTCACACAATCCTGATCATTTGCACACATTAGGGTGTTACCTTGCGTATTGTTCAATGCTCGCAAGCCTCCCGCACAAGGATTTCGAATACCTGAATGCAACTGATTTTTGCGACTTTCATTAGCGAGTATCTTTCCTTATGCTTCATAAGAGCAACCTGAGAAATTCATTGTGAAGCAGTGCTATCCTGAAAGGTGGAATTGTTCCACAGAGGAAAAGCCGCTATTAGCAATGTTCTCACCATCACAGATGATTCACTTGATCAGCACTAATGAATTTGTTCTTAAAAATAAGTCCAACGATTATTAAACTATTCTGAGCAACTCACAGATTGGTACTGCTGGACAGGGTTGTGTAAGGCATTCGACCTTTTTCAGCACACAAATATCACTTGGAACTGAGCACTTCATATCCTGGAAAAACATCGCCATCCAAAACAGTCAAAATTCTTCGAAAGATCAACACTGCATACGATATAAAGATTACAAAATCATAATCTTGTTCTGGACAAATTGCATTCAGATCGCAACATCAGCAATTTCCAAACCTAATTGGAGTCTATCAACTCGTCAATTATTTGCACATTAACGTTTTGGTTCTCCTCACATTCATTCAATTTTTGTAATCAGTAACTTCCATCGCTTCAGCAGTTCGAATGAACAGCTGCCTGATGACCGTTAATTTTCACGCCGAAAGATCCTCAGAAGAACTGTGTTGGAATAACGAAGGTTCTTCTCACTCCTTTTGGTTCATATATGTCATTGCAGTGGTTCATGATTGGCCCAAAATCAACCTCTTCCGTTTCTTGATGAAAACTTCATTCTAACTGGACAACATTAATGATATCAATAGTAATTACCTCACAAGGGTTTTTACATTCACACCTATCGTTCAATGGGCATCCGTTCCGGTTCAGCCGTACACCGTGAGTACATTTCGATGAGGCACAACGCGTTCGACATTCCTTCGGAGCTACAAAGTGACAGGACTATTCAATAGTATTAGAATGTTCAGTGAACACTGTGACTGTTAGAAGTGATCAAAAAATTCATCTTATCACGTAGGTCATTAAATTTCGGCGGCTTTAGAACAAATTTCGATGAGAATGTCTCAAAGGATTAAAAATCAATGTTGGCATACATACGCCGACCGTTCAAGCGATTCAAATCATTTACTTGATAATTTTCATAGTAAATGAACAATAAATTTTTAGTTTGCATTCAGCACTACCATTACCCAAACCTTTAAATCCACGTTGTTGTTTCCATATAAGATTTGTTGTTCAAAGAGCTACTAATGATGGATTATCAAGAGTGCACAAACGAGTAATATAAATAGTCCACAACCGAAGTTTCGTAGGATACTTTAAAGATGATTTTCAAAAAACAAGTGACTTCACTGTCACTGCTCTACTATGCGACTAACTCAATACAAACAGAAGCGATGCGCTGAAATGAGTATTTCAAGAAACAAACCGTTGCAGTCCGGATGCTCTGAAATGCTTGAAGTCCGCGTTCCATGTACTTCTTCGCCTGAGTTTATATCAACACACCAACATTGCCTTAAACAAGTATTTATGTAATGTTGAAACGGTAATGAACGTACCCAACGAGTGAAACATTCTGATCTTCTGTAAAAACGATATGCTTCTAGATTCTGAACTCTATGAGCATTGCGCTCGCGTACGCACATACCTTTCGTCTTCGTCGCACTGTATCTGTTGGAAGGTTCCGTCGGGGTTGCAGTGTGGAGTTTCACGTTTCACTAGCGATTTTGCACGTGCCGTGCGATATGATGCCATTCGATGAATGCACACTGAAATATGGAGATTTTGCAAGGTGATTCGAGTGATTAAATCAATGATGCACACTTCCGAATTTACTCATTTAAAAAAGAAACGGAAAAATTGTAATTAGTTTTTGGATTTTACGGCTATCAACATCGCTCGATTTCAATCCTTTTTCAGTTCAAACCACGATGTTCGCATGAAAAATCGTTTCAACATCAAAAATTCCCTACCAGTAGCCACATGAGGGAATAGACAAGAATGTCCGCATTGCGTTACGCAACATTTTTGAAACTGTGGGCAATCATTGTCGTTGTGGCATTCATTGTCGCATTCACTGATTCTGGACATTTCTGCAGGACAAACTCCCAATCGTTCAGTTTTGTTACCGTTCACTGCTATAATATTGTTTGTGAATGATTCGGCNGGTTACCAGATAAGGAATTGATGACGATGGCGGCATTCCTGTCAGGAAATGTTTTTGCAATCATCACGCAAGAAGTACCACAGCCATTGAAACAACAGATTCCGTTTCGACATTCAGTATTTTGACGACACTCCAGCGAACACTTTGATGGTTCCGATTGAGCTTTGGACATCACGGCTGGACATTGCTGTTCGGATGATTCAGAGGACTCTGGAAACCGAAACGTCATTTCATTAATCATATTTGTACACTTTGTTAGCATTGTAGCTCATCCTTGTGTTTCATCGTGATAAATTTTCAACAGGTAGCATTCAGTCTATCTAAACAGTAGCCTTATATCCCACTCACGATCAGTGCAATGCTCTGATGCAACCAACTGACAGTTTGCATTTTGAATATTAGTTAGGTTAAGAGTTGCGCTAGGAGGGACTGCTTTAAGTTCCACTCATTCAAAAGATCGGTTCGAATGAAACATATCAAGATGAACCATTGCCAAGGCAGCAGTAGCCGATCGTCGGTGAATCCATGCCAATACGATGACAGAAATAACCAAGCGGGCAATGTTGACCTCTGGATGGATCACATCGTTTCAGCAGTTTTGTATCAGGTAGGATCAATGGATCACCCTGAGGGCATGCGTTTAGTATACCTGAAAGCGTTGTGCGTCATCTTCGAATGGATCAATTTGAATATTCTTCATTCAGTTGAAAGAACTTCGTTGACATCAGTGAAAATGCATGAGAACTGGTGAATCCAAATGGAAATGAATCTGAACTGGTACCTACATTTTGGTATAGGATCACAATTATCGTCCAAACATCGCGGTTGAATCAGTCTACAGACATACCATTTTGCACATCGAAT